AAATGAAAGTGACTTACCTTCGTGTGATTACAATCTGGAATAACCATCGATTGTGAAGTAAAGATATTCTTAAAAAAAATTATTTATGATACAATACTTGATCATGAACAATGTCGAATTATATAATGGTATGCTTTTTTTTTATCCCTACGTGAATATATGGAGTGCAGAATACCCACATGAGTACTCTGTCACCAGAATGACACAGTACTTTCGAGTACTGCAGTATTCTCATGGTATTTTATGGATTTTTAGCACTTAACTACAGAGTATTTCCATGTATTCAATCCACTGACTTATTGAAAAAGTGTTCCATGAAATTCTATGCAAACCTTTTCGGATGCCCTGATGAAAACTATCTCAGTACATTCATTAGGTTCCTGAACGTCCAGTCTAATCTCGTTCTTGAATATGTATCCTTTTTCTCGTCGCTGACATTTATTGAATAATTGATTCGTTGCGGTAGAGTTGCCGTAGCATCAGCGTTATTCCAAAACTTTGAGTTCCACTGTCACAATGAGAATAGTTTAGCAGGAAAATCTCAAGTTATTTTTAGCTTCATGCTACTTCTCCGAACAGAAATGTACTATTACGTAGGTTATTACCTCCGTTTCGGTCGTTTTCATTTGGGGTTGTATGTGATGGCGTCTGAAAGTTTTAGTTACCGTGGTAGGTCGTGACTTGCTCCTTGGCCATGAAGATGAATTTTGAACAATAGGGAGTTGATTTGTTCCACGTTGGCCTTGAGAATTGATGAGGATGGTTGAAAACTTTGTAGATAAAAATAATTCGAAATACATGATAATTGAAATTCAAAACTATCTCACCCACAACAAATTGCCATTCGAATCATTCGATTTGCTATTGATCGGATGCGTTCCTTTTGGTGATCGAATCGATCGATGAATACCAATGGTCGATCTTATCTTTTTAGGTTGTTCATTAGCTTCCAGTGAATGAGAATGACGACGACATTTTCTGACACGCGTTACAGACGTTTGAGTACGGGAAACATGATGTTTGTCTGCAAGTTCTATCGAGTCTGGACCTACGCTCATGACTGCTTAGTCAATAGAATATTTAATACGTGAAAAGGGAAAGGAGTATGGCTATTTTGAATAAATAATATCTCTTACGCAGCCTCCCTTCAAATGTCCCATGAATTAAAAATCGCACTTATTTATACCAAGAATACAACGCACGAATTCTGCATGCGTACGTACGCGAAGCCGTATGACCTATGTAGCATCTCGTATCGAAGCTTTTATGGTTGCTTATGAAAACTTAATTACGTAGAAAAAATAATATTCTTTCTACTGTCAATAAATAACTCTGTTGATCAAATTGAAAAAAAATTCAAATAATAATCAACATAGGAAATACTTAGAAACAACAATAGTTTCAAGGTGAAAAGATCGAGCACGTTGAATAGATTCTTCACCACCGAGAATGACACACTTTGAGTACGTCTTTTATTGTTGCCCAGAAAAATCCTATCAGTGTAACCCCTTTGGGGCTAAAATATGGAACTAACATAGCTTTTCTCTACTAATACAAAGTACGTAAAGTAATAATCTTTAACAGTCGATAGTTGTATTCTAAGGATAATCACTCGTTAGACAAACGATCATTTTTATTTTCCTAAGTAATTACTCAACAGACAGATGACTATGTCACATCCAACCATTTACTTTCGCAATAAACGTCCAGAATCTTTTATGGACTTCGATAAATTCCTAAACACTATCTGGATTACTCTTAAAAGTTAGATTTTGATGAGTTGATTCTTTTTATGTTGGTCCTGTTCTAGTTCTGATAAATCAGTAACATAATAGTCACAGTGACTTGCATTAACAATTCGCT